ATGACAAAAATGATAACGGTATCTTAGTATTCAAAATTGTGCTTCAAAAAGATTAAAAAGGATAACATAATAAGTATGCCATTGGGAGAAAAATCAAACAAGGATTGTTTTCTTTTTAACATCACAATATGCTGCAAAAACAGCAGTCGATTTAAGGCTGTAGTTTAAAACAAAAACCACATTAAAAATAACGTAACTGAATTCAAGAAATAAAAGGAAAATTTTAACCCTGTGCTGTGTAGAGCTGGCGTCTCTTTGTGATTCATCTCTTTGGAGAACAGACACAGAAAGCAATATTCTCAGCTTTCGAATTAAAAACATATTAATTGGTTTAGAATGTACTTTAAACTCAGCAGGTCATGCAAAGTTTTGTAAAGAGGATCCAAAACTAATCCATGGTATAAAATGGCAGAATCAGTTTTAGCTTAAAAAAAAAAAAAAAGGATTATATTTTGACCGAATATGTCATCTTCAATTTGACTTTTAAAATGTTGATTAAAGTTATTTTGACAAAATATATTTGATAGTTATTAGGACTACAAAATATACAGATATTAAAATTGCATAATGATAAAAGGTTCCTGTGTCAATAACAAAAAATTCAAGCAGAATCTATACAGATTGAATAAGGCCGGATAAAGAATTGAACCCTCCGGCACAAAGGTCACTTTGCTATTTTAAACCTATCAAGAACAATAAACTACATTTTACCTGATGCATAAATTTAGTTGCCTGCTTTATAAAAGCACTACATTCCTATAAAATCTTTAAGATCACATGGAATCAATTCTCTATTTACTATGTGCTATTTCTGTACAGTTCTTACAGAAATAGCACTTAGAACTGATCCAATTCAGATTTGTGGCCTTTTCAGGTTTGCCCACTAGCTTTCTATAGAACTGAATTCAGGGCCTTGCCACTGCCACTTTAGCTAGTTTGAAACAAATTCGACAATATTTACAGGATCATTGTCCATTTGGAAGAACCAACATCATGTTATACCTTGTCATCTTTTTTAGATGCTGCTTTTTTTTTAAAGCCATCTATGAAATAAAGAACACCATTCACAACACGGCATACAGAAAATACCAACAAGGCATAAACAGCTTCTCATCATCTGTTGGTGATACCACTCGAATCAAAAGGGATTAAATTAAACAAAAATATCAGAAAAAAAGATCATTACCACCGTTTTCTTGTTTGCACAAAGCTTTTATGAAAAAAAAAATGCAGAATTGAATCAATTCAGTCATGCTTTATAATATTCCCAGTAGTTAGAGGGCTATATATGAATTTAGGATTGCTAGTAATCTCAGACAATGAAGTTGAAATTTTATTGTCAAAGTATTTAAAACTGTGAGCCTTTTACAGACAGCATTTAGAGTCATTCGTATCTGCTGTGATAAAGAGAAATACAGAATGTGAAGCTCTTTACTGCAGACTAACCTCAAGGTCTTGAAAAACAACAACTTGGTGGAAAACAAACTACTTACAGTGCAAAGGTGTTTTAAAAGAACTAAGAAAGAAACAGACACATGTCAATGCAATAAAATTAAAGTATCACAGGTTTAGCTACATTAAAAACATGCCAGCAAAAAAAAAACCAAAGACAACAAAAAACAATGCATGGGAAAAACAAAACACCAAAGCAGAGTTAATAACAATATGTAGTCTTAAATGACAATATCATAAATAAAACAAGAAATCCATGTTTAAAAATGTACTCCCTATGGTAAAATTTTATTTATGTTTCTCTCTATAGATTTAACACAGCAGACAATGAGACAGTGACTTATTTAAGCAAAGCATTGGATGAGTCAACATAAAGGAACACATTGTGGATAACATGATGATCCTTTGGTCTTTGACCAAGGGGAAGTCGTAATAGCCATGAGAAAAAATCAGTTAGTTGTGGGGAATCATTTTGGTTTTCTCGGCTCCGATTCTCTGAATACCATTTTAAACAGAGGCATGAAGGTTTACCCGTGTCATTTACTGATATCTTTGGGCTGCATACAAAATCTTGGCTGTTATTTTAATCACCAGCAATTTACAAGCAAAATATCCCAATAAACCAAAACAAAACAATGGCAAACATCAGAGCACAATTTAATAAAGACCCCTCCTTCTGAGTGTCATAAATATTCATATTCTTTAAATGCATGATGAACTACTTTAAGAGCGGATTCATGGGAAAATCTTATATTATTTCAGTCAAAGCTGTTTGACGGTTTGGATCACTGTGTCCCTCCGAATGTTATAAGTATCACACGCTTAATGTTTTATGACTATCCTCTTTGAATCTATTGAACCAGTTAACATCAATAGCTATAAGAGAACCCACTTGGCCTTTGAGTTGATCAGAAGGAAGTTTTAACGAGCATCTTGGAACAGAGGGGGTTACTCTTTGCCACTACCTTTTCAAAACCAATGAAGCAGGAATGCCGTGATTGGGGATTTGTAAGTTATTCAGACAACAAAAGAAGCTTTGAATGGTGCCGTCCCTATTTTCAGTATGAGTGACAACTTTTGTTAGGGCCCCCAAGCGACTACTCCACCTACGGGTGCATCACAGTTATTTAGAACACTATGGAATAGTGAAAACTTCTTAAGGGCAGGGGTGGACAGATATACTGCATCCTTACCATACTTTAGTATGCATTTTGATTCTCAGGGTGACACTTTAGCATTTGTTTTTTAACCAATTGAGCGGGGGAGGGGGAACGACTGCAGTCCTGTCATGGTCATGTTACGATTCTCTTATAGCTGCAGTTGATTCAGAATGCTGCTGCCCACATCCTCATCCTCAACTAAGAGATTAAAGCACATCAACCTGGTTATAAACTGGTTTCTCTTGCTCCCCCCTTACTGTAATCAGTAAAACATGATTTTAGTCTATAAATCACTGAATTGCTTAGCACTAAGATACATTACAGATCCCTCAGTTATTCTAGCTTTAATCCAGAAATGGAGGATCTGGAGTCAACAAGTCATCTATATGTCATATATTCATTCTGCCCAGCCACTGAAGCAGGTGAGTCCAATCTGCACAGTGAATTAACCCTTGCAGATTGGACTCACCTGCTTCAGTGGGTTCAGGGCAGAACAAATACATTACATAGTTGACTTGTTGACTCCACATCCCCCATCTCTGCTTAAATACACTCTCCATACCCAGAACCAAACAAGGGAACCTTTTTTAATTCTTAAACTCTACTAATCTGACGTTAACACACAGTAAAAGTGCTGAAACTCTTAAGTCCCTTTAAATCAACATTAAAAACATATTTGCATAGAGTGGCCTTTGACTGTCCTTTCTAAACACAATTAGTTATGTTTTCATTGCAGCTTTTCCTTTAATTTTTTATCAAGCCTTTTTAAATATAATTTTATAATATTCTGTAATTATTTGTGTTGCCTTTATGCCATTGCAAAATACTTTTTCTTACTTCTTTACATAAAGGTAGAGTACACCCTGGAAAGGCCGCCAGTACATTAAAGTATGAATAAACTTGCCTTGCCTAATAGGATATACTTAAGCAGAGGCCAACACTGCTGTACACCTGGCATCTAAGAGTGAAAGCACTCGTATCCCAGAAATCCGTGGTAGCCTGGCTTAACTAGTGATTATAAAATTTAAGCTGCAGTGTTAATGCCCTGAAGGGTAATGCTAGATAGTATTTTTCAGAAGATTACTATTTCATCCTTTGCCACTGAAAAACAAAGGAACTGCAAAACAGTCATAAGGACACAAGAGTAAACAAACACAGCCTAACATTTTTTACAAAAAAACTCAAGGCTAGCACTTTAAGAAGAAGGTTCACTGTATGTTCTACGACATTCTCCCGAACTTTCAAAGAGCCAGATGACTGTTTTACCTCCAGGTGTTTTGCCCACATGAAAAATTACTGTGTTGCCCACTGTGAGGCAACTCAGCAGGAGGTCACAGAGACAGACGCGTTCAGCCCAGTAAAAATTAGACATTTCAAAAGTTGACATTTTTTAAATACAATTTAAACCAAAGACTATAATAATTGGTATAATTATTTACTCTATAAAGAGGCCATTGCATTTCTCATATTTGTATTCCCTGTCGATAGACCTTAATGAGTAAGCTTTCATCATTAGTTTTGAAAGTGTGCTTGTATGATGCTAAGCTGTTTCAGACATTACCTTGTAAGGTGGAGAGTGGTCAGGGCCCTGAAAAGCCTTGCATGAGACAAAGACGGCTCTGTCTCCTTGCAGCTCTGTGGCAGGAAAAACAGGAAGACTCCTGTCATTTCTCTGGATGATGGGAATTCTACAGGTGCACTCAGTAAGTGAATGACGATGATAAGCAAGTGACTAAATGCTTAATTTGAGGCTGCCAATGCAGTTTGCTTTTTCCTAAACGTTCAGCTGCAGAAGCACGTGTGCAGTTGATAGATGTAGCCCGCCCTTGGAAACAGGGCACTGGGTTATATAGACCTACATCATCTTTGAATATTACAATCATATAGCAGTTATAAAATAGTTTTGGGAAAGAGATAACCATATTTGTATTTTTAAAAAATAATGCTTACACCAATAAATATATATAATTTTAGCCAGTTGAATTGTAATAAAAACAAATCAGCAAATTTATTTTACAAACATGTTTATTCACTAAACTGTGCAACATTATCTAGCCAGCACCTAAGGAATAGCAGCTCCTGGTTGTAATTAAAATGCCTGTTTAAACATTGGTGGCTTTTTGTTTAATTTTGTTTGTATCATAACTCATTACTGTTAAATGAAAAAAATGCTACTAAAAAGAAATAAAAGTCTGTTTTAGGTTTGGAAATGTATTTATTAAGTAGTTCTAAACAATTCTAAACAAAACATTCCAGTAGTAATAATGTAGTTGTTTTTTTTGGGGGGGGGGGGGGGTTATTTATTTGAAGAATAATCTTTCATGCAGGATAGCTCATTTCCAACCTATATAATGTAAATGTTCAGGTTGTGTAGTTCTAAAAAAAAACCAAATGCCTTTTTTTGTTTTTGCCAAACACGATGCAGTGCATTACTGTATGTCTTCTAATGTCTAATGTCTCTACATTGGTCTCATTAGTGCAAACCTTGTTTATGCTGTCCACTGATTAATTTGCATGCAGCTTTAAAAACCTAGTATGTCATACTGCCATAATCTTTTTAGAGTAAAGATTTTATCTCCAGGAAACTCCCATAATTATTTTAATTGTTTCTCTAATTATTAATTTAAAAGTTTAACTGCTAGTTGTCTATATGTCCAACTCCACTACCTCCTAAACTTCAGCCAGCTCCTTTATTTCCTACTGGATAGACAGATTATTCCAGGTCTGTCTGGTCACTCTCGTCATGGTTACTGAGGTCACACATGCCTGGATTAATCAGTTTTTCCAGTAATGAAAGACAAGAAACAAAGGAGTTCGCTGAAGTTCAGGAAGTAGTGGAGCATCACATGGTCTGACATTGGAAATACTTTCCTTGGACAACCAGTCTACCAGAGAGATTAAAAAATATTTTTAATTTGTCAATTTCTTAATAAGATTTTTCACTATTTCTCATTTGATAGATTGAATAAGGTTTTAGAGTGGCCTTATAACCTGTTTAATATTGTTGGGCAGAAGCGGTTGCTTCTGTAGGGTCTTTGCAGATATCTTTCTTTCTAGTTATTGTGATAGCACACATCTAGGCTACTGACTAGCAAACCTCTGCTTTTACAGAGATTTGTTTTGTAGTTATAGATTTTTTTAATAAAAACTAAACAGAAGTAGAATAAAAAAAAAAAGCTTTCTTTCTTTTTAGCTTTATGGCCAGAAGGAACCCTCATGTGACCCCAACAGCTCCTTCAAGAATACAGGCGCTTCTGGCCTATTTCATTTCTACAGACAAACTGAACCCCACAAAAGTTATGTCTAATGTTAAAAGACTGAACTTATGTTTAAATGTTAAAATGGCACCATTGAACTATTTAGAGGTGTCTCCAAATTGTCATTTTGTCTCATCACCCCAACCTCTATCATTCCCCTCTACTTTCCTTTGTAAAATACCCAATTCAAGAGGAGTGTAAAGGAGAGAGTGGGACATTCTTGTGGGGATTACTAGACCAACAAGAACATGTTACAGGAGGCTTAATCAGGTGGCCACCCGTGGATTTAAGCAGACAAAAACGTATCATCAAAATGACAAAGGACTGCAAGAGGGTCTAAAAGCCAGAGGCATGATGAGATAAAGACCCTGAAGGTTGATGCATTGGTCTTACTGTGCGAACACCAGGGACATCAAGATCTTAAGCTGGTAGCTGACTTAAAAGACAAGGTGTGGAAATTAAGACAGTAAAGAAACAACATATCCTTGTTAACCCCCTTGGAGACACCCATGTTAGTTGCTTTAGTGTCATACTTCCAGAAAATAAGTGCACAAAGACACAGAAAAGGTAGGGGTTAAATAATCTTTGGCAGAACTCTAGTTCACAGTTTGTAAATGGAAAAGATTGCATTTATTTATTCTTAGAAAACAAAGCATGCCAAAAAACACTGACAAAGAAGACTTGGTTCTTTACAAAGGGCCTTGCTTGCTGAACAACATTCTAATTTCTATGTAGCAGAGAGGCTAAAGTTATACACAGCATCACTTAGCAGAATGCAGCATGTAAACCTAATTTCCCAATCCATTTCTAGATTTCAGGTCCTGTTCCATTTCGATGGTGACCATATAAACAGCTCCAGAAGACGTTGCAAAGGATATGAAGTTCCTAAGATCCACCCTGAAAGGTTAGAGAAAATATGTCAAAATTACTTGTCTAATTTAATTCATTTATTACAAGAGACAAGCAAAGTTTCACCAATGCCGCAGTAGGAAATTGTCAGAGTTTACATAAATCTGCTTTTCTTTTTTTGACAGCAAATTTCACATTCCCGGATAAAAATCTGGCACAGATGAAGGGAGTACCTCCTGGAATCTATTTCCTTGGCTGACATTGTTTTTGGTTTCATGCAGGGCTGCAAATATGACTTGTAATTAGGATGAATTATTAGTCAATCATGCATTTTGTCATGGAAACCCTTGTTATCCATTTAAAGCAGAAGAAAAAAAATGCAGTAAAATAAGTTTGTTGGACTGAAATGGTAAGAACATTTGCACAAAACCTGTTGCTTTTACACTGCTCAGCTGAATTGGACCACACCACACACACTGTAGCAATTGTCTGAGTAATGTATTGGCAGCCACAGCCAGATTTACAGTAATAAGAGAATAAAGTCTGTGAGCAAGATTTGATAGTAAAACAAGAGATATACTAAATCATATAGTATACTCCTCAGTATACTATATGAAAAAAATTGTAATAATGGGCAAAAATATTTTAATGGAGTACTAAATCTTCTAATGCAAGTATTTCTTAATAACCCATAACTAGAGCTAAAATGAATCAAATGGACATTTGTTTGAGGTCATTCTATTGATGACTTATTGGATTATTGACCATGATTATTATATAAATCATGGTCAAGAAAAATAAGTAGATTTCTTAAAACTGTAAATAAAACTCACCAGGATTATTGTTGCTCCTCAGAGGATACTTTGCTAGGGGTATAAGGCATCCTCTTGAGGCCCTTTGTCTTCATCATTTGAAAAACTTTGATCAACAGGGATCCCTTGTGACACTAAACTGCAACCTGCACACAGTAAGAGAGAGTTTAATTACAGAGAACACAGAACTCTTTAAAATATACACCAAATGATAAATCACTATGTTTGTATATATAAATTAATAAAGGAAATTAATGTTTTCCCAACTACTGTAGTTAGGCAGTTAACATAATACAAATGCACAGGCATTCAAAACCCAATTGAACCTATTTGGACTGTGATACTATGAACCAAGAAAAAAGTAATGCATTACTGTTATGTTCATAATAATAAATTGGATACAGAGCAGTCTAAACAGCCCATCTTAAGTATTTCAACAGATTATTAGTTAGATTCAGGTCTGGACTTTGACTAGGTCATGCTAAAACATGAATATGTTGTTATCGAAACATTTCCTTTGAATCACAGACTGTATCTTTAGGGTTCTGCCCTGCTGGAAAGGAAAGCTCCACCCCAATCAGAATCATATTACAAGCAGACTGTATTTACCAATGAGGTGAACAAGAAGTTGGATTTCCTGAAGTAAACATATCAATTTGCAAATGTACACCACATCTCTTTTCTAATCTTTGTATATATTTACAAAAATATACACTATATGCATAATTTCCACAGTAAATCAAAACATCTCAGTAAAATATACCTACATTTTTGGGTTGCTCTTTTTTTTTTTTTTTTACATAACATGTTATAAAGAAACATTTTTTTTTTTTATAAGGCTCTGCATGTTGAGGTATCCAACTGCACAAAAATCAATTCAACCTTAAAAACCTTAAAACACCCAAAATTAGATGCAGGTATCATGCAGTACAAACACGTGTGATTATGTAAACATTATTATTGTATTTGCAAGAATGTTTTATGGCACATTTGTAGCTGGTTGATGACATTGTTGGTGGTGCTGTTAAACTTTTTTAGCCCAGGAACACGTAGCAAACTTTATCAACAATAGAGCTCTCTTTCATCAACAGAGACAGGCACACCTGTGGGCCCTGCAATCCTGCCACTAGGCTACTCCCATTCAGAGATAGCCAGAATGAGAATCTGTATTAGAATAAAAAACTCAGATATATTTAGAGATAGAACAGGTCTACTAAAGCTGCTAAAATGAACAAATGAAGAATTGTTTCTCATTGTGGTTCTCCTCTTAAGAAACTCAGCCTGTCAGCGAGACTGCTTTTCTCCTTTTCTTCCATTCTCCCTCTATCTCTGTTATCTCTAGCTCCCTCATTGTGAGTGATGCTTCCTGTGTTTTCACTATCAGTAGCTAAACCTGTAGGGAGGGGGTCAAAGAAAGCTCCCCCAGCTCTGCACAGCAAGAAAACACAGCCTGAGGCCTAAAGGTCAACAGAGGCCAACATGTCAGAGGGGGGAAAAGAAAATCAGAGGCCACTAAAGCATCAGCCTGGTCTGATGTTGTGTTTCTGATCTGAGTGAACCTGGCGACAGCTAAATAGATGGGCTTTCACATGGTGCGAAGGAATTCTATGACCTCAAATACTGTGGAGGAAAGATCTGTATTTTTCACATCTTTGTGAATATAGTCATTTTCCTATGGTATGTTTAGGAAGACTTTAAAATATATTTAAACATTTTAAAAAAGCGAAATGACTTCAGTATTGGAAATAAAGAGAGTTACAAGCTCCGACATCTTGCTGACAAGCTGAAAATTCACTAAATGGTGACTTTAAAGCCATTTAGCTCTTTGAACCCAGTGTGTGAAGAAGGGCCAAAGGAGGAGGGCATGTGTGCGCGTTTATGTGACAGAGAAAGTGTAGAACCAAAAAAACAGTGTGCTGAGGTCACAACACGAGTTGCTATGTTAATTTCTCATTGGGTAGCTTGGCTCGGGTTACCAATGCCGACGTTGAGAAAGTGGCAGCCCTGTACCCCAGCAGGCTGCAGGTCTACACCAGGAACAGGGTGTTTATGACGTCACATGCCTGTTCTGCGTGATGCTGGAAGGGGGAGACCACCTCACGGTGTTGAAGCAATCATGGCAGACTTACAAGTGTTTCCCAGAAGCAGGCTACCTGGGGGTATATTCTCTGCTTTCAAGTTTCTACTAAAACCCTCTGCCTGAATATTAAATTACCTTTAACTGCTCAGTTTATTGGTCAGTAAAACTTGTTGAGGGAAAGCTAAAATTTAAGAGTTTCATTAAGAGCTGCTGTCATTGCTAAATCACATCAGAGGGTGACATCAGACTGGTAATGTGCGTAAGCTTCACCTGTTTGAAATTTCTGTTTTCTCTTTCCTTTTAATGTCCCTTTTAAAATTCCCCCTACTTTATTTGGAATTGTCAAATAATAGAAAACTTCAGTTTATATTAAAGAAACTTTAAATGATAGAACAACATAAACTTCTACTTGCAAATGGACGTTTTTTTTTGTTTCTTTTTTAAATTTCATAAAAATTGCAATGAGCATTCAGTTATTGAGTAAATGCTTTATACAACTACATATTGCTATTATAACTGTGGCTAATCTATGTCTCTAAGTCAGTGCTACCACCATGTTTCACTGTGGGACTAAAGCAATCTTTCAACATGAGCTGTCTTCTTGCAAGTCTTCCATTAAAGGTATGACTTTTGAAGTGCATGACGTTATGTTTTGTGTGTGCGTTTCGTCTGCAGCTCCACCAGAATTGTCTTGGGCTGCTTGGGTGTTTCACTGATTCATGCTCTCCTTCCTAACCCAGTCTGTGTAGATGGAAAGATTTTCTGGGAGGATTGCAGTTCAGCCATAGTTTGTCAGATGGCGGACCGAACAGATGTTCAAAACCTGAGATGACATTTTGGACCTTAAACCTTTAAATTTGCAGAATTATAACAATGACCTGTCTGCTGTGTTCTTAGGTCTTCGAGAGGCATTATTTCTACCAATGCTATATAAGAAACCTCTGAATCCAACAGCTATATATGCGCTTTAGAATCCCTGCTTGCAGACACCACAAATTTAAAAACTAATTTGTCATTTTATCAATTAATTTGTCACTTCGACAATAAAATACAGTGGGGCAAAAAAGTATTTAGTCAGCCACCAATAGTGCAAGTTCTCCCACTCAAAAAGATGAGAGAGGCC